AGAAGTAGGTTCAAAGCTAGATGAATTGTTTTAGCAAGGTTCACAAGGGAATGAGCAGTTACATGAACTAATCTTGGCTACATTGCTCTGAAGGTGTTTGAACACGGAAGCAAAAAACCCTGAGCCTGTTTATTGCTTAGGCACAAACGCAATAAACTGCACAAAGTGAAATAAGCTAGCAGCTTCATACAGTCTCTTCATCACTGCTGAGCCAGCAAAGAAAAACTATTCTCACCGACTGCTTTGCATCAAACTTCAATCTGAAAAACTAAACATTTTAATCACTTAATTTTACAAGCCTTGATCAACTCGTCACTGTTACAGAATGTTAGAAGTTAAATGAATTATATTTTCTTGTCAATTTACCTCCCATATTCAGATGATGCACCCAAGAGGCTGCTGAATTTGAAACATTTGTTTTAGCAGAGTTTTCCGTTGTGCTCCTCTCTTCACCTTCTACTTCTTTGTCTGCACCCACAAATTTTTCCTCAGCCTCTTCTTGATCCTTAAAGCATTCTTCATCATCTGACTCCTAAACAACAAAAACCGTTAGTGAATAGCCTTTCTTTTCCAGTTTTATTCAGATTTATTAGAACAGTGCACATAAAATTCTTAAGAAGCTTCTTACAAAAATATAACCAAATGATAGACAATATTTAAGCAATACAGATTTTTAGCCTTGATGCAAGACTTAAAATTGAACTTTATAGCTTACATCACACACGTGTAACGGTCCCTCCCCATCTGAAGAAAGAAAAAAAAAAATCCAGTCCTGCCTATCTATTCTTCAGAGACGGCAGACAGAAAAACAGGCCATGTTTTGACAAAGCCTTTGGGTGAAGAATACCTACTCACTTATACAGCATTTAGCAAAATAATCCTCTCTCCATGAATGAAGTCCATAGAACCCACTAGAATACCTAAAACACCTTCACCTACGTAGATTTTTAATGTAGCTATAATTGTTCAAGTGCTTTCTCCCATAACACAACATAATAGCCAACCCTCACGTTACTAACAAACAGGTTAGGGAAAGGTGCTTACGAAACTAGCTCTTACTGAAAAAAAATAAAGAGATAAAGAAGTATCTTATACCACACGATCCTGTAACTGGACCCTTAACTCTGGTTTTACTCTCAGAAGCTCAGACAAAAGGTACAGGGTTCCACAAATGAAGGGTGGCATTTGTCCACAAGTGACTTGAAGTAACCTCTTCACAAAGGCCTTCACGCGCCGTAACACTACATCTGCCTTCAGAGATTTATAGACAAGATTAAGAAACATGGACGGCTTTGAGCAGGTTGCTAAAGCAGGATCTAGAAGCTTCCTGTAGAACACACAGGAGAAAATATTGCTGATCGTCACAATGCACGTAGAAGAATAATTGCTATTAACAACAATCATCTACATTTTTCAGAGTGCCTTCCAAAAGGCCAGTGACCGCTGTTCCCCAATACTGAAAACCATCACGATCAACCCTGAGCTGTCAACAGCTGTGTAATATTTCTAGATACATGAGACACTGAAGATTAAAAAAACTCTGTACCAGTAAACAAAAAACACTGTAAGAAAATATACAGAAACAGAGTTCAACTGAAAACAGTTTTAAAATCTGAGATACTCAAAGTAAGAAACTAATCTGATTTATCCAGATATCCAAAAAAAATAGAAAGAAAATGGTTAGCAATCAGCATGCTTCACAATCAGACCAGACACATGTGTTGGCAATTTTCTACTCCACATTTTTTCCAGGCTGCCAGGCACAGTCAGGCCATTAAATACACTGTACATTCTGGGAGAACTTGAGTTCCCTTTTTAAAAAAATCAGCACCTTCCCTTTGGTCAACTAAACAGAAGCCTGTAAGAATCCTAAAAAGACACTAAACAATCAGCTAGGGA